TTTGTGCTTTGAAGTTGAACTATGAGCCGACACTCAATTATTAGCAAATTCTTATATTTAACAAGCTTTCAGATGCTGTAGTAACAGCCACAGAGGTGTAGTTCTCATTTGGTTAATGCCTGGTATTGACTGACAGCGACTCTGCCCCATGTCATCTTTACTCCAGGATACAAACTGAATGTTTAGATGTCCTTTTGGGGACATTGCCATCCTTATGACAGCGGGAGAAAGAAATGGCTCTTAGGAGATACATGTATCCCTTTTTAAGCAAGTGACATGACCAGGCCTAGCACGATGGAGCCAGGAAATATAGTCTTACTATCTACCTGCGTCATGACGTATAAATTCATGTGTGTGCTTGAACGATACACACCTAGACAGCATCTCATTCGGTCCTCAGAGTTGTTGGATGAGGCATCTCGGGCCTCGGAAGGGGAATGAATCCTGTAGTGTCACCTAACTGCCTTGGGGCACATCTCGGATTAAAAGTCCTTCTCCAGTGGGATTTACTTTTTTTCTTGTTTGTCTGAACGTATTACAAGTGAGAAGAAAGATGACATTCAACTTCATTACAGCCTCTTGGTGCCAAAGCAAAACACATGCCAAAAGTAACTCCATTTTACTGACGCATTAACATTAATGCTGATAGATGTATCCCATCTACTCTCAGCAAAGTACTACCATATAGAAGGAATAAAAATAATTTCTATTTGTTCTTTGTCCCTTTTCCATTTTAATTGTCATGGGCACATATAGTGGCTTTAGGATTAATAAAAGGAATACACTTAGAATGTTCATTTCATCTCTGATTTTTGCTTCATATTATTTTCATACAAAGAATGGAGATAACTTCCAGCTTGTATCAGCTGCTTATTCACCATTTATTACCCTAGTTTTTGGAGTACCTACTAAGTGTAAGGCGTTGATTTTAATTGCTGTTGTGGATACAATGAAGAGCTATATACATACTTATAACTACAATGCAAAGCAGTGTGGCAAGTCCCAAATGAATAGATAGGAAGTATAGCTATGTTCCAATAGCTCTTTTATCACAAACGGTAAGACCAGAAGTAGAAATAACCCTTAAATATATTCTCAAGATACCAGAAAGTTTTGATACAAACTAATACTTGAGCATCTATCGTAAGTACCTGCACATAGTAGGTGATCAACACATGTCTCATGAATTGAGCTAAAGCTAAATTTACCAGAAAAAAATACCCATGGGTTGAGAAGAGGGGAGGCGAGGCTGGCAGAGATTGAGTTACACCCGGGGAGAAGGAAGAAGCCGTCTTGCCAGTGATGAGACAGAAAAGAGACACAGCGGCGTGGAGGGAAGGACTTATGTCAGTAGGCATGCCGGTGGTGAGTTAGGCCCGGTGCCAGAGAGGAGTGGGCACACGGGGAGCAGCGTCCTTAGGCTCCAGCTAGGAACCAGGGCTCCAGCGGGAGCCATCGCCAGAGAACAAGGTTGTGGGCGAGAGCGCCCCCTAGCTTATTTCCAAATTCCTCTGACATCAGGCTTTCTTTTAAGGCCTTAATAAGTTCAGTGTGTTCCATGAAATTTTAGGGTTTGACTGTCCTCACCCTCACCCTAGTATCTTTCCACGTGCTTGCAGACAACTAGACTTGTAAGTAGAAACCCACAAAGCGTTTTACATTCAGATAAATAGTTGTAACAACACTATGATGCAAAGGAGCTTCCGTTTAAATGTAGTCAGCCAGAAAAGACGTGGTGAATGATAGGTTATTAAATTTTCCCCGATGTCTCAGGTTTTACTGGCTGCAGGTTTTAGAGAGTAAGGAGAACCTGACGGAGGGGAAAGATTGCAGACAGAGGAACCTGAGGAAAACAAAATGAACATTCCTCACATCTTTGACCTAGGCGACAAAAATTGTGAGTTAAAATATCTGGTACCATAACTGGAAAGGGAGCTCTGGTGTCATAAAGGTTTTGATTTGTGTGTGTTTTGTTTTTGCTTTTTGAACTTGGGACGTTCCCTGGGAACTTAACTGGGACATCGCAGAAACAGTGCCGTTCGGTTTTCAACCTTGGTACTAGGTAGCGCATTTTTCTTGCTGTGGTACCTGGAAATACAATTTATGAAATATAGGGGCTATTGCACTTGAAAGATTAACCTACATAAATACAATTTTTTAAAACTTTAAAAAATATCCCATAAAAATTGGTTTGGTAATTTTAAAGTCAAAATATTTTGGGATCTAAAATACTTAATACAAACTGTCATTGTTGTACTTAACACAGATGGTGTGATGATTACATGAGGGGTCTCCGAAACGGTTATATGTTCAGAGATGACTATATCCGTAGGTTTAACAGTAAATAGTTGTAGTGGTNTATGTAAACTTTATAATTTTTAATCAAAAGTCCACTCAACTATTACCCAAGAAAGTCTTGTTGCGCGGAACCTGACTTTTTTTAGTGAAGGTAGGTGCCATTTAAAAGCAGTCAGTCCTCTAGAGATACCCAAGATGGCTGGGAAACGAATCGCCACGGTCGTCCCACTTTCTTATTCAAATACAGAAGCACGACCAGCCCACTTTGTGCCTCGACAAAGGCCCTCCTTCCCGCAGAAACCCCTCCACGTGTAGTCAAGTCAGGTGCCTGCGGAGGTGTCCAGGGCCTTGCATCTCCCCGATTTCATGCTGAGGTTGAGCCCGAGCAGACCCGTCCTCTTGTGGGTGGACATCGGCTGGTAGAAGGCGGTGTCAGAGCCCCCCAGGAGGGAACTTGCCATTGGGGAAGTCGGGAGCCAGAGCCTGGGCACCCCGCCAGGGCGGGGGCTCTGTCCTGGCACCACGCGCGGCTGAGGCTGGAACGCGCCCCCGCCCTGTCTCGGCCACACCTTGGCCGGGGAGATGACCTTTAGGATGGGGGAAACAAGGACCGCGAATGTCGCTTGAAAATGTGGCCCCTTGGGGACCCAGGAGCAACGCACCCGGTGCCGGGGACGCCGCAGCCATCGGGCCCGCTGTCAGGACCGGACCCAAATCTGGACCGTGCGGGACCCGTTTGCAGCCCCGCCCCAGCCGTGCCCTGGAGGGCTCTTCATCCCGCGGTCAGAGCAGCCTGCTCGGGCTGCACACGCTCTGAGCCACCTGAGAGCAAGATGGAAGAAGGGATGCGCCGAAGAAAGAGGAAGGGAGTTTTTATTCTAACGTCAGAGGAAACTGCAGGCAGGAGAAAGGGAACCAGAAGCACCGGAGAAGAAAAAGAAGACGCCACATCTCGANGGCAGCAGTGGCCCCTTAACTGGGCAGTACCTTGGGCTGGGCATCCAGCCACCTGCTTTCCCTAGGTTCCCAAGCTATCTGGTAGCCATCCAGGAAATCGTTTTTTCTACTTAAGGGCACCACAAACAGTTGCAGGTTTTGCCGGACACAGTCACTCTTTAGAATTGTGGGAAAGCTACTAGCAGCCTAAGGATTTGGCAAGGCCAGTGTATGGGCTCTGCGGTTTTCTGTGTAGTGACGAGGCAGCCGTCCGAAGCTCCAGGAGAGCCGAGACCACACCTGGCGTGATCACTGGTACACCCAGCCCCGGCCCAGGGCCCCAGCAAACATGTCCAGTAAACTCTTACTTCATTTGGACGTGAATAAATAAAACAGTAGCCCCACTTGTAGGCCTCCTCAGTTTCTACTTTAGATGTTTGGATCTTGACTGCTTTTAGTGTAGATTTTCCTGAAGAAGAAAGAAAACTCAAAAATAGGGACACTAAGTTTTTAAGATGACTAGGAGGCTGTTTCTTCTTTAGCAGAAATGAGGAAGTTGGAAGGAAGGAAAGGGCTCAGGTTCCTGCTGTGGTGAATAGAACCTGTTAAATGCTGTGGCTTGTACACTTTGTAACTACAAGTTAAACAGGTTGTGTAACTCACTAAATAGCTTTGTGTTTGCTTGACAAGTACAACAGTCCCTCCTACTGAACTTTGATTCAGCAAAAACAAGTGTTAGCTCCTCCCAACCTCGGGTGTTCCCGGCACATCTGCACCAAGAATGTTCTCCAGCTCTTTTTGTAATGCTTTTGCAAGTGTGATTAAGCTTTCAACATGATTCGAGAACTTCGTATTGTCTTGCTTTTGTCAATTGTGACTCTGGGAGAAGCCAGGAAACCGTTTCTCAGTTTTCTGAATATAGAAAACCCTGAAATAGCACTTTTCACAAAGACGGAGGACACCGTCGTCATCAGATCGAGTTACAGAGACCAGCGGCCAAACTCCAGCTACCTGTCTGTGCAGGTCGGCGATCCTCACATGCTGCAGGTGGTGAACGTGACCAAGACCTTAGCAGACGTTACCAGTTTCGTCCTACACCTCGTGCCAGATGAAGAAGGAGAGACAAACTTGACCGTTCGGCTCTGGGCCTCTGAAGGTAGGCAAGACAGGCTCCTCGAAGAAATAAGGGATATCAAAGTCAGGCTGCTCAGACACAGGGCAGACAGTCTTTTCCAGGTCTCGAGGCATATCGACAGAAACATCCTCATGTTTGCTCTCCCCATAATACTGCTGAATAAATGCGCATTTGGTTGCAAGATCGAACTGCAGGTATTTCAGGCCGTGTGGACCAGACCTTTGCCGGTCATTCTGGGGGTGACCACACAGTTTTTCCTGATGCCGTTTTGTGGATTTCTTTTGACTCAGATGTTGGCATTGCCCGAGGCCCAGGCTTTTGGATTCGTGATGACCTGCACGTGCCCCGGAGGGAGTGGGGGCTACCTCTTTGCTCTGCTCCTGGAGGGAGATATCACTTTGGCCATTTTGATGACTTGCACATCGACGTTGTTGGCCCTGATAATGATGCCTGCCAATTCTTACATGTACAGCCGGATGTTAGGGCTGTCCGGTACATTTCATATTCCGGTTTCGAAAATTATGTCGACACTCCTTTTCATCCTTGTGCCAATATCAGTTGGAATAGTCATCAAGCGTAGACTCCCTGAGAAAGCACACCACCTGGAGAGGATCATTAAGCCCCTGAGTTTTATTTTAATGTCTGTAGGAATTTATTTGACTTTCAGCATGGGGTTCATGTTGCTAAAAACAGTTAACCTAGAGGTGCTCCTGTTGGGTGTCCTAGTCCCTGCCTTGGGCTTGTCGTTTGGGTACTCCCTTGCTAAAATCGCTAGGCTGCCTCTTCCTGTGTGTAAAACGGTCGGTATCGAAAGTGGGATGTTAAATAGCTTCTTAGCCCTGGCCGTTATCCAGCTCTCTTTTTCCCAGTCCAAGGCAGACTTAGCTTCTGTGGCTCCTTTCACAGTGGCCATGTGTTCTGGATGTGAAATGTTACTGATCCTTCTGTTCTACAAGGCTAAGAAAAGATGTGTCCTTATCCTAGAAG